TTCAAGTGAAGGTGAAGAATTGAGAATTATTGAGAAGTTTAGAAGTGACAATTTCTACCATTGGAAGATAAAAATGGAGCTTTCGTTGGCATCTTTGGATCTTTGGGATATTGTAGATGAAAGTGAAGAGGCTCCAAGAAAAGATGCTGATATGAAGGAGAAGAAGGAGTTCAAATGTCATGAAAAGAAGGCTTTTGGATTGATTGCAACCAATGTGGATGAAGCCAACTTCTCCCACATTATCTCTTACAAAGGACCAGCGGAAGTATGGAAGACTCTTTGCAATATCTATGAGAGCAAAAACTTATCGATCATCATCTATACAAGGAGGAAGTTCTTCACTTGCAAGATGGAAGAAGGTGAAGACTTCATGACTCATGTTAATAAGATAAAGGCTCTTAGAAACCAACTAGCAATTGTTGACAAGCCTTTAGAAGAAAGTGATATTGTCATGACCTTGCTAATGAGCCTTCCCAAATCCTACAACTACCTTATTGTGGCATTGGAGTCCATCAAGCTAAAAGAGCTTACAATGAATTATGTGACGGCAAGACTTGTCCATGAAGTAACCAAGAAGAAAGAAAAGGAGCCTCAAAGTGAAGATTCAGCACTCTACTCAGGTCAAGGCAAGGGCAACTATTCAAATCAACGAAGTAATGTCAAATCTTGCTTCATTTGTGGCAAAGTAGGCCATTTTGCTCGAAATTGCTACAAAGGCAAAAAGATGAAGAAAGACAATGCAAATAGTGTGCAAGATGAGTTTGGAGGACAAGATTATGCATTCACGGCAACGAATGGGACCTCTATGGCTGTCATATCAAGATGGATTGTGGATTCAGGTTGTTCCAAGCATATGACACCTTATAAGTGTTCATTTGACACTTATGAGGCTATTCCAGCATCAAACGTGGTATTGGCAGATAGTGGTATATGTGAAGCCATTGGAATTGGCTCTATTATGGTGGAAGTGGTTGTGAATGGACAAACCAATAGGATCAGACTCAAAAACGTCCTTCATGTGCCTAAGATGAAGCAAAACCTACTTTCAATAATAAAAAGATGATATTATATTTTTTTTTTCTTATTCACTTTTAGTTAGAATTTTATGGACTTAAATAAATAAAAAAAAAAAAACCAAAATTATAATTGGTGGTATATGATATATCTTCACTACATTTGAAGGTAAAAATAAAATTATAATTCATAACAAAAATGGTAGAATTTACAAGATTTGTATAATTTTTGGTAGAGCAAATTTTGTTATAAGATAAGAATAATTTCTATTAAATTATATTCATATATACTCTTAATAATTATAATCATCAAACACTTGAAGAAAAAAATGATAACCTATGAAAAGAAAAAATATAAAATATCATAGAAATTATCAACTAATTTTTAAAATCTTAGATTCATCAATTAAAGATTATATTAAAATATGCACATCCATAAGATCAAAATAAGATACAATATAAATTACACAAATTGAATAGATATAAAAAATGATCATCATTTATAGTTCTATGTTTAAAGATAATAAAGCCAAACTTTGAATAATTAATCAAAATCTATTTAAGTTTTTAATTTTATATACATATTTTTAAAAAATCATACATTCTATTTTATATATATATATATATATATATATATATATAGATATGATTTGGTAGTCCAAAAATTTCTAATATATAAGAATTTTTATTTTTATATTTCGTAATATATATATATATATATATATATATATAAAAAGAGATTTATAAAAAATAAGATTTGATAATGAAAATAGAGCAATAAAAATAAACTTCAAAATATGATAAAATAAAAAATATTTAGTGTAAACAAAAGTAGTATGTAATATAAATGCCAAAAGATAAATCAAAGAATTTTTACCAAAAGAATGAATAAAAAGTATAAATTCAAAAATTGAAATAAATATTTTAATTAGATTTTTTTTAATAATTAAAATTAAGAAATAATAATAAAATTTATTGGGTGGTGAGCAAAGATATAAGGCATTGCAAAGAAAAAAATAAGTACGTATCAAAATAATTGATTGAAGAAGAATTATAAAAAGAATGTACTAGAAGGGATTCTAAAAATATCAATGAATAAGGGCGTTGGCAAAGAAAAATATTATAGATAAGAAGTAGGATGAAAAAACAATGGCAGAAAATTTAGAAAACAAAATTGATCCAAAAAAAAAAAAAAAAAAAAAAAAAAAACCTATGATAGTTGAAATAAATGTACTTAAAATAAAATATAATATAATAGAAAAAAAAATTCAAGAATGTTTTCAAAGAGAAGATATGAGAGAATTAATGAATAGAATGCCAATAGGTACAACATGAATGAATGAATAGAAACCAAGAATATTATTGATAGTAAGTATAATAGAATTAAAATAAAAATTCAAAAAGCACATACCTATCAAGAGCAAATCAAAACAAAAATTCTGGTATTTTTTAATTTTTAGATTTGATAGCAATTCGTACCACTATTTTATAATTGCAAGTGATTTATAAAATTTTGAGATTTTGAAATTCACTTATATTGCATAAATATTTAGGTTTTAGAATAAGTATTAAAATTATTAATTTTAATTTAGATAATCTTATTGTTAGATATAAACTATTAAAAAATAAAATCTTTAATTAAGACTTTTTGATCATTTTTATTTTATATTAATCATTCTATATTGTAATATATATATATATATATATATATATATATATATATTATAAGTATTAAAATCTTAAATTATTTTAAATATTTAATATCACTTTGTATTCATAAAAATATAATTAAAAAATCTAAAATTTAATATTTAAATACTAAAAAAATACTATTTCACAATACTTATTAAATTCTTAATTCTTTGTTGTGTTGTATTTTAAATCATATATAATTATGTATTTTTTACAATAAAATTTTTATGTAATAAAAGTGTACTAAAATTCACTTCTATTGCATAAGATAAATTATACATGCATTATAAAATTCTAAATTATATATAAACTATGTACATTTTATTTTATTGATCAAAATTACAATATTTATTGACATATTTTTTGTATACTAAACATGTAATATTCTATACATTTACATATGCATATACATATATATATATATATATATATATATATATATATGACAATTTTAAAAATTAATACTTATACTAATTTTTAAAAATTATATTTATAAAATATAAAATCCTAACTATTTAGATTTTTTTTAAATACAAAATAATCAAGTTTATGTATAATTTTAATACTTAATTTCAATATGAAATTAAAATCAATTAATTTCGTAAAACATAGTTATTATAAAAAATAATAATCTATATTACAATTATCATGTTTTATTGGAAAAAAAATATTACTATTTTGTTTTAATAGTAATAGTACAATTTTATATAAATATATACTAAAAAACTTTCTTTTTCCTCTCTATCTTTTTTTTTGCTAAAAATGAATATATTTATTGTTTTACTAAAAAATTAACAATATTTTTTGTTGTAGATCTTCTACATTAAATATTAGAGTTCCAATATTGACCAGTTTGATAAGAAATATATCACATTAGTACCTTGGAAATTTTACTTTATTCACAAATATAGATTTCATTAATACCACTCTTAGTTTTGTCCTATTGGATGTCCATCGACAACAAGTGGGTAGTAGATAGAAAAGAACCAAGATTAATACAAACAATGTGAAGTTACATGTTGAAGTTAGCAATTAAATGAGCCAGTGTTATTGCTAGTGGATTACCATGGCAATAGATAGTAGCAGCATTAAGCAAATGCTAAGATTAATTCTAGCCATGTGCATAGGAGACTATTTATACTAATATTATGTTTTGGCCTTTTTTTGTATTGCCTAATTGCTTCTCCATAATCCTTTGCTCTAGCCTTTCTTTGGCTTTGGCTAAGGCTCCCTTTTGATCCAAGTTCTAATATTAGTTATAATTTTAGTGCAAGATCACAAGTATAAAAAATTTATTAGAATTACCCAAAATCCATATATACATGAAATCATGAAGAAAAATTACCATATAACCATTTGTGTACAGTTTTTGACTAGACCAACATTAACGTCCCTTTTCAACCATTGCTTGCTTGGAAGATTCTTTTTCTCCATCCTCCAGCTCTCATGGATTTTGTCTCACAATTAAACATTTACACCTACTTCCAATCAATTGATACTAGCTTTATCTAAACTCTATCTGTCGAGACATCTTCATAATTTGCCGCCCCACAAACAGAGGTGTTAACACCATCACAGAGGACCATGTCGTTGGTCGCCACCAGATCATCTAGTGTCTGATTTTGATTCTTCACAGCGCTGTAAACTGGATCCAACTTTGACATTGCAACAGATCTCAGCTACATAGGTGAGCTCAGTTTACCTGGAACATCATCTCTCACGTGACTGATGGCTTTTGAGGAAATCGAGATGGTGAGTTTGAATGCATGGATCAGTCGTCTTTACACAAAGATAGGCTTTACATAATGGAAAAGTATGTACAAACTAAGGGTTCTATTCTAGGTCATAGGCCATGAAAAGGCTATTTCTGCAACAAATTTGTGTAAATGTGCTGCAGTGTGGGCACATGTGAGTTTGTGTCTGTTTTACTGGAGATCACTCTCACAATTGTGGTTAGATCCACACACATGCTGTTGCCGAGCACCTACACGGAACGGTTGCAGGTCCGTTGTTCGTTGTAGGGGTGGAGTTCAGCTTTGTTCTGCACAACAAGTGGCTCTACCAAATTGGAGCCCATTCCAGGTCGGAGAGTGCACAACTGCCCTTCAGATCATCCTCAAAACCGCAGCCATTTCAAGCGCGTGGGGCCTCACAAATCATGCATGACTTGAGACTAAGCAAGTGGAATTGTTTAGACTGGCAATGAATTAGCTTTGCGGGCCTCATAAGTCATGAGCTTGTCCTCTGCCGTAGGTGCCACAAGGTGATCTTGTAACACTTCACTGTTGTGATCTTTCATGAGTGGACGTAACCAAGAATGCCAAGATTGCGAGATAGATCAGAGCTGCACAGGACCTTGCCGAAATTGGCTGCATCAGGTTGAAAGATAAATGCCCAGAAGAGGTGTGAAATAGTCGAATTCGGTCCCTGCATGAGAATTCAAGCAGCAAGGGACAAGCAGCATCAAACAACTAACCTATCGAAGGATGGTCCTCGGTTGTGTGGATTGGAAGCCGCGCTGCTTGACCTGTTTTTCATTGTTCCACGAGAATTGCTTGGTGTTGCCGAGAGGTCGCGGATGAGAGTAATACATGAAGAAGAAGCCAATTGCTAGCGCCACACATAGAAGGCCGATTGTCAAGTAAGCCGTGCCGACGAAGTTATTCTTACCGCCCATCCAACTGGTAGTGGATAGAACCAGCTTCTTCTGGCCATTGAAGCTGAAGCAGTTGTACACGTTCTGGATGTTCACTTGCAGCTCGTCGCCAGGGTACAGGTCTCGCTCGATCCGTCCCCACAATTTGCGAAACTTGGACAAAGCAGCGGGGCGCATCCACACCCAGAGGTCCTCGTTGTCTCTCAGCGGTGAGTCCACAGGCAATTTCCCTCCGCCGATGTACGCTGAGGGGTTATTGTTCTGGAAATTGGAGGCATACACAGTGCTGCTCACTTTGTCCATGTCCGATTTCCAGGCAATGCCTTTTTTGTTGACAGGAACAGACGTGCCGTTGTTTAGGGCTAGGCTGTAGGTGTCATTGAAGAAGCTCCATGCAACGAGGCCGCAGGGAATGACAGGCTGACCTCCGACGGAGTCCTCTGGTGCACAGATTTTGAGTTGCTCGGGGCTGGCTTGTTGGCCCTGCAATTGAGGCTCAGACTTGCTCTTGACATAGCGATGGTGGTTTTGATGAAAATTGGTGATTTCGTAGTACATGTAGATGGGCTGCTTCATGAGCTTCAGGATCCTAATTGTGCGGGTGCAGTTTTTAGGGTTACTGGGGTTCTTGATGAAGCTAATTCGTTCCTCTCTTGTGCGAAGGCTTTGGTTCACTTGTGCAGCGGAGTTGTCGAGACACGCGTGCCCGTAGTGGTCAACCAATTCCACGACGCTTGTCGACGCAAGGAGTGTGGCGATACCGATGGGGATGAAGACGACGCCGACGGTCATGAACACTGCAACAATGCGTGCGGGGGTCATTAGAGGTTTGCATGCGTGCATCTCTTGTTGTGAGAACCTGGTGTAGATCGGCTTCTGTGACTGAGGTTTGACTTCGTTTCTCGCGATCGCGCTGCCTGGTGTGGTAGTTGCCGCATTTGCAGTCGTTGCCATTACTTCTGAGAGCCGGTACCAAATTACGTTGTGTGGTGTTCCAACTTGAATCCAATCAACTTAAGATTGTATTCTCCCGACTATATCCAGAACGGCCGTTGAAAGGGGCTCAGCAGGAAGTTGTCTTCAGCAAGGCGGAAATCAGTTTCTGTTCCTTACTGTTTCTACAATATCCATTTCTCTTTGCAGTATCCAAAACCGTGCTAATTTGTGCGTTTCTATTTTCACAATCTGCAGCATTTCGAAAACAATTGCATCATTTTCGAAGCGAGGCGATTTATTTTTCAACCACGATCAATAATCTACTGTTGTATGGTATATGAATGCTAATTCCGCATTGATTTTTCAAATGTTTACGAAAAATAGGTCACAGCATTGTTTGGCTTCTTAATTGACACATATCCACGCGTAAAACTCATTTTAGGTAGATGAGTGGATAAGCTACCTAAAATGAAGCAGTATTGACAACCAGTTGTTGGATGCATCAATTGCATTGGTTTTGTAGTCGGAGCAGCAAGTGAGTTATATTCATTGTATGTTCTTGCAGATGGCTCGCCTGCCTGTGTACACCTGAAAGTTTGCCCTGGATTAGTAGTATAGATTGCTTCATATCATATTGTGTGATTTCTTTGTAATATATTTTCTGGGCTTGCTGCGTTGGTACACATACTCTTTAGCACTGAATAAGTGAAATACTCTCGCTGACGTTTCCCAAATAAATATGGTGATTGACAAATGCGTAAGTGTGATACTTGTTCAGTGCTAAAGCAGCAGATTCGGATGCATCATCCATCGGCACCCTTGCTCGAAAGCATGAGACAGGTAGCAGACTTTTGTTTTAATACACTGTTGGTGACAACTTCCATCTTATTTATGTTGTAATTCCAAGGAATTTCGTATTTAGTTTATAATATTAAGCTTTGAATGAAACACAGTAATTTAATTACAAAGAGAGAAGTATCAACTATTGAATAACCAAAGAGACAAATAATTAGTAGTAGAGCCTTAACATTCTATTATTTAAATGGTCAAGTTGTAATAGGAAGCCACTACCAAATTGCAAGAGAGATTTAGAATGATTGCTTCCATTGGTAGTAGAAGGTTGGCATTTATTTACTACTAAGGGTTTTGCACAATACTTAGTATATCGAAAGGTCACATGCATTTCAAATCTTGGATTGGGTTTAATAGACAAAAGTTTTCAAAGCAATTTGGTTTTTTATTTATTTTTATTTTCATTCTATAATTTCTAGACTTGTCATTGTTAGCCATGTTATCTTTGCATTACATCTCTTTTTTTGTTATTGTGCATTTTCTACTACCTTAGTATTTTATACGTTTTATATTTTTATTTTCTTTTATACTACATGTTTTTACCTTCAATTCCTTTGCAAAACCTTGTCCTCTCATTAGAGTGGAGTAAAAAAGATATGAGATGTTGGAATTAAATTGATAATTATAGAATATAACTTTTTCACTATTATTGATGCAAAAAATGAGATTGTGTAAAAGTTGAATATCTTACTTAGATAGATAGAAGTAAGTAAAAGTAGGTAGAATTATCTTAGATAGATATTATCTTTGCTAAAAAAGACTTTGAAGAAGTTCTTTAGACAAGGATTATCTAATTAGACTCGCTACCAAATATGTTATATGATCAATAGAACTTGTCCTACAAGTTTCTTACTGTTAGAAAGTTCTATTAATAACAACCTTCAACTTGATGTTTAGACCACAAGTTTTGTGGTCTTTAAAAAGCACTCAACACCTTCTTGATAGGTAATGTATGTAGAAATAAGAATAAAGGTGCTATTAATCTTGTTAATACATTTTTTGAATTTCATTTTTAGTTGAAGACTCTTTAGGTTTTTTGTAATTGGCAATAATCATTTGGATTTTTTTCTATTTTAAATCTAAGGTTTTTTTTTCACAAGAAAATATTAATTTTTTAAAATTTTATTCTAATTTATATCTATGATAAATACTAATTTAGTAAGACTTATCATTTTAAATAAAAATATTAAAACCTTTTAAAAATAAAAATAGATTTTGGGTTAAAAAGGTTAAAATAGGTAAAATAATTAAAATAATTTTTTATAAAATTAATTTTATTTAAATTTTATTATTATTTTTATAAAAAATTATAACTTTTAAAAAAAAAAAAAAAAAAAAAAAAAAAAAAACTTAGAAATTTGATAATAAAGTAATTCTATGATATTTTATATTTTGATTTAAAATTAATATTTTGCATATAGTTATTTGCTTAGGACAAAGTAAGAAGGCATTCAAAGATTGGCAATAAGAATTTGTAAGCTAGCTTTAAGCTTATTATAGAAGTATAAGGCTTGATTTTTTAGGATTTGCAATGACTTTGCAATTATTATTCAAAATCAAGGTTTGTATTAGTGACTTGGAATTTATACAATACAAATAGGGCTAGCATTCTCGGCTAGTTTGTATAATTTGTGTTACATCTATAATTCAAAATTTCAAAATAACTAATTGATTAGATGTATCAAATGTGTATAAAATTTTATATCTAATAGTTCAATTGACAGATATTTGGATTTTGATACAAGAGGATATTAGAAGTTGGTAGTTTAGAGTCAAGTAGTATTTTTATGATATCTAAAGATCTACTAATTGGATCAAGGTGAAATTTAGCATAGTATTAGAAGACTTTAAGATCAAGGTGCAAACTCATTTTAAATTGAAGTTAATAATTGGAGAAGGAGAAATTACTATTGGAACATTTGCATCAACTTCAAATTGGCAGCAAAGTGACATTAGTATGGTTTTTTGGAATTTTTTTTATAATTTGTAAATCAAATTGAGCTGAATTTTTTAAGTTTATAAAAGACTCATAGTAGATTTTATACAAAATTTTGTACTAAATGGATGGTTAAATTAAGAGTAGCAGCTCACTAAAGCTCACTAACTAGGATTAGGGCTTACAAAGAAAAATCAAACTTACCTAATTATAAAAGTAATAAGGTAATTGGAATTTTTGTATGGTTGAAGTTAATAAGAAGAGTATTTTTGAGCATATTATATTGGCTTTAAGCACTTTTGAATTAAAATTAAAATTATATTCTTCTATATATGTAAACCTATTAGGATTTTTTGAATATTTGTAAAATATAACTTCACCTTCCACAGCCATGTGCTTGATGCATTCCCAAATAAGACAACACATATTACAACAATATATAAAGTAAAAACAACATCCGTAAAGCTTCTATAAAGATATTCTTAAAGATTTTATGAAAATAATCTACTTTTATTTACTTTTATTTAATCATATAGATAATTAATAGAATAAATATATATGTCCTTGATTGTATGCCATTCAAAATCTCTAATAAGAGCTTTTATCTTATTTGTGAAGAAAATTAATGGATCACTACAAATATTTGTGGATTATTAAGGATTCAATAAGATTACTATCAAAAATAGATATTATCTATTTTTAATATTCAAAGTCCTTGATGAATTGAATCAAGCCAAGATTTATATAAAAATAAATCTACAAGGAGCGTATAATTTGATACACATTAAAAAAAAGACATGAATAAAAGATTGCATTTTGAATTAAGTATGAGTATTTTAAATCTTATGAATGATATTTTTAAAGATTTTTAAATTATTTTTTTGTCTATTATCTAAATAATATTTTAATCTATTCTAAAAATATTAAAAAAAAGAATTTCATGTTTGTCATTTATAAGAAAAACTATGAGATGCATAACTATATGCAAAGATAGAAAAGTGTGTATTTTATACTACTTAAGTTGATATCTTAGGATACATTATTTCAAATGATGGTCTTACGCTAGATCTTGAAAAAATTTAGACTATTATAGATTGAATTATTTTAATATTAATAATAGGTGTCTAATATTTTTTTTGATATTTTCTAATTACTATTAAATTTTTATCAAGAATTTTTTTCAAGATGGAATTCTACTTATACATTTGTCATTTAAAGACAACTTGAATAGAATAATGAAGCTAAAAGAGCATTTAAAGCTTTGAATACAACTTTTATTTTTCCATCAAACTTATATTGCATTGATTTTTTTGAAGATGTTTTTATAGAAAAAAATCTATCAGACTTTTTTTTGATGTGATATAGTCATAAATAGAAGCAGATGACAAATCTCACTTAGTGGCTTTTCTTTCAAGAAAATTTTCAATAGCTAAGTTCAACTACAAGATCCATAACAAAGAACTTCTTGTAATTATGGATTTTTTCAAAAATAGCATCATTATTTGGAAGATGTTTCTAATTTAATAACTATTTGCATGAATCAAAAAAAATTAATTATATTTAAAAATATAAATATAAAATATAAAAATAAAATAATTTAATTTTTTTTAGAAAATATTTTCAAATTCTAACATTATATAGCTAAAATAATAAAATCTAATATTCTAAAAAACTTTACATATCATAATATAAATTTTTTTAAAGTTTAAAAAATATATTTCTTTTCCATTAGAAATATTGAACTTAATAAAAAAAATATAGCTATAGATTATTTATAATATTATAAATTTTTAAAAATATTTTATACTTACTTTCTACTTATAATTTTGTAATATATAAAATGTGCATAAATATATGTTTTTTTAAATTAGCCAAATACGCCAATTTTTAAAAAAAAAATTATAAAATATTATTTTATATACATATGTTGTAAAAAAGACTTTAAAAGTTATATTTAATACTTTAAAGATAGAAGGTAAAAAATAAATTTTATTTGATAGCTTTTAGTATATATATATATATATATATATATATATATATATCAGTAAAATAGTATCTGAATTAGATCTTAAATATTCTTGAATATTTTAAATATTTATAAATAATTATAAATTCTAATAATTTATTTAATTAAAATAATATTCTATTATTTATATAAAATTAATAAAATTAATAAATGATAAATAAGATTGTTTTAAATGTAAAATCTATAAATATGTAGAAACTAATA